CATGTCTTTTTTCTAAATGGGAGAAAATGTGCCCAGAAAACAGGGGGGAAAACCGCTCTCTTTCTCCCTCCTAAAAAGCGCGTAAGATTGGTTTTATTTTTTAAAATAGGGCCTTTTCTGGACCCAACCCCAACTCTTCCAGTATTGGAGTTTTTTACACATTTGTGCTAATCTGGATCAAGGTTTTCTCAATCTCAGCACTCCTGACATTCTGGGTCAGATAACTCTGTCCTGTGCATTATAGGAGATTTAGCAGCATCCCTGGCCTCTACCCACTAAATGCCAGTAGCACCCACCTCTCCCCCACCCTCCCCAAGTTGGGTTAATCAAAACTGTCTTCAGACATTTTCAAAAATCCACTGGGAGAAATCTGCCACCAGTTGAGAACCACTGTTCTAGATATACTTAGTGCCAGAGTTAGGCTGCAAGGCCCATGCTAGCCTGAAACAGGGTGCTCACCTCCATTCCATCCATGGCCATAGTGGCCAGGTAGTTAGGGTCCTGCTTGTTCCAGCAGAGGCGAAGCAGTGGGTGATGCTGTGGGTCTTCATAAATGATGGTGCTGTGTTCTAGATGGCGGAGGTCAAACATCCGCACCGAGCCATCAGCACCCACAGAGGCAAACATGTCCCTACCACCGCCAGCCCGGCTAAATGCGATATCATAGACCTGTTGGTGAATAAGACACTTCAGCCAGATTCCGATCCATTACCTCCTTTTCCATAGCAGGAAATCTGCTATGCCTAGATCATCTAAACCCGTTTGTAACACAGGAGGAGAGAAAAACAAACAAACAATGTCTGCAAAGTCTGGAACCTGAGAGTTCTAACATCAGTGACTTTCCAAAGAGTGAAGATCATTCTGTTATAGAAATTGGCTGGCTTCTTCCCACAGCCCTGCTTTCCAAGTCTTCTTCCTCCAACCCCTATGATAAACTGCTGACCAACAGAGCACACGTGATTCTGAGCAAGTATTCTGTATGCTTAGACAGGCTCAGCTCAAGCCAGAGACAGTGGTGGTCTTCTATCACGAGACAAGATTGAGACATTGATTTCCTGAACCTTGATGGCTTCCATTTGTGTGGGGTCAGAGGCAGATCCATGACCACACTAAGGCCAAGATCATAGTTTAGAGAGGTGGAAGTAACCCTCCTGTGGCCGCTTAGCCAAGCTGGTTCTGCTGTGAAACCTGGACCTGAGACTCAATCCCAAGAAAGAAGTAACAGCAGTTTTATACCATGGGAGGCATTCCTATATTTGCAAAGAGAGTTCGCACTCTCTTGTCCTAGGACAAGTTGTTTCTTCTCCTAGCTGGCCTGCATTCATAAATGGTTTAGGTTTTGAATCACTGTTTTCTGCATTTACTACTTGCTGCGAACACTGCACACCACTACTGTCTATGAGAAAACAGAGGTAGAGAGCAACAGAGAACTTCAGAGAAAAATAAAAAAGGACAGAGAGACAAACCAGAGCCAGACAAGCAGAGAGAAGAGAGACACACTGAAAAAGAAAAACAAATGAAAGGAAAAACAAAACCCATCTCTGGGGTCAAGATTAACAACAGCTGACTTCTGTAGAGACATGATTGACTCTCACTAAGTACCATGACACCACCTTCTTGAGGTTCTGCCTGCCAAGGGACACTGTGAAACGAGCATCTAGTTCTATTCAACCTCACAAATTCCTTTTTATCTGACTATGAAGAAATTACACTTCTCTTTCTACAGTAGGAATGATTCAAAAGGAACTGGGCAGTCACCACAAGGAGGCCCTGCAACTCCAGGCTTTGTCCTGCCTGAGGACAGGGGCATGTTTATCAATGTGAGCACCCCAGGGGCCGGCTCTCAGTAACTGCCAAGAACAGGGACGCCACAGCAGCATCACTAAGCAACAAGGTGCCGTGGGCAATGTGACCGAGTGTGTAAAGCTCTCTCAGCTTTAACTGCCTGCTTCTTCATGGGGCTCCACCAGTAATTTCATTATAAACCACGGGGAGATGACAACCCTCCTCTACACCAACCTGCCAGGCAGCAACAGGAGCCCCCAAACAAGTCTTTACTTTGATAGTGAGAGGTGGGCTGAGAAAAGCCATAGGTGCTAGGAGGTATCACTGTTTCTCTCAGAGCAACTATCGTCATGTTCATTTCTTCAAGGCCAGGGCCTGTTTGCTGGTCCTGGCCTTCCCCTCTGGTAGGGGGAGGCTAAGGAATTTCTCTTCCCCTCTCTCTGTCCCCTGAAGCATCTCTGGCAATGACTGTGTCCCCTCCATGGTTCTAGCTTTTGCCAGGTACACTCAGCCCCTGGATTCCAGTAACCCTGCCTCTTCCCTTGGCCCTTCTGGCCTGTGGGCAGTGCCACTTCCTGCTGCTTCTATTCTCTAGATCAGCGGTCGCCAACCAGTGGTCCGTGAGATCCGAAAGGTTGGGGACCGCTGCTCTAGATTGCCTCACTGCTCCTATTCTCTAGATTGCCATGTCTGTGTAAGCAATCCCCTGGATTAAGTCCCCTCCGTTTACATACTTAGAGTAGTTCTGGTTTTCTGAACTGGACCCTGACAGAAAACAGCAGACTACATTGTCACATAACTAAAACGTAGCAACCTGTTCCACTTGATGTCAACTGGGTTTTCAGAAGTTCCTTACTGGTCCTCTCTGCAGGACAAATTCTTCCTTTGTCCCTTGGCTCAGCAGTAGGCCAGGCCACCAATCTTGTAACAGATCTTACCTTTAGGAGCACAGAAAGCCAAACAACAACCCCTTACTAAGAATGATAACCTGGTCACCAACCTCCTATTCTGTGGATAACCTCAAGTTTCTGACCTAAAGTCAAGGCATCCTTTTTATCTGTACAGGTATTAATATTCCCTTGCTATGCAGGGGAAAGGTAGAAGAGAAAAGGAACACTGCCACAGGAAATCAGAGAACTTAGGTGCATGCAGCAGCTCTGGGAAGACAAGATTTAGGACCACTTTCCAAAATCACTCATGAGAATGCTTTGATTAAAACGTGGCCACAAAGAGTTCCCTGTGAGTTTTGCAATAAACACAGGAGAAACATCACCATCAAGATAAACCATATTCAATTCCAAGTTTTAAGTATTAAGTGAACATACTAGAATTTCATAAAACAAGTTTAGAGAAAAATTGATTAACTAGGTTTCACAGCCAGGAAATTTCTCTCTTCCTGCCTCTCCCTCTCAAAAGCAAATATATTTCAAGATAAATGTTACTCTAAGATTCATTTTTAATCACATCAGGTCCGAGTTTGTCTACAAGAGAGTTCATTGTTAAAAAACAGCAATCTTTGGCATGAAAAGAAAAATTACTATAGGACAAGTTGTTTGTATCAGTCAAAAAACACATTCCTTTACAATAGTGTTTTCCACTCATAACACATTACTATTTTCAATTCAGACACAATGTTAGCATTATGATTTTCCACATCATTTGCAAAACAGTGAGCAGACAAGACAATCTGACCACACTGAAGGCACAGAAAGCAGAAGAGGGACAGCATCATTACCTCTTTATCATGGGCAATCAGTTGGGTCTTCACATGGCCAGACACAAGATTCACTCGCCCCAACACCTGCCCTGTCTCCAGCCCCCAGATGGTACAAGTTGTATCAATGCTGGAGGTACCTGGAAACAATCAGTGCACGTCAGTAGCTGACAGGAGTGAGGTTCCCAGGCAAGCTGCTCTCCTTGTGCCTACTCACCAGTTCAGCACAGGAGACCACGTGCCATAAACACTCCCTAGCATAGGGAGGGTACCAGGAGAGCCCCAAAGAGTCAAGTGTTCAATCCTTAACCTAGGATCTTAGACTCTGACTGGAGACAAACCATACACCTATGAGAAGCTTGATTCCATATGAGGAATGAACCACATTCCCTGTCTAGTCTCTTTCTCGCTTGGTCCCATTCTAGGATGATGCCTGTACCTCAAGCCCCTGGTTAAATCTGAGAAAATATATCTTTGCTTCTTCAAACTTTAACCCACACCCCCTCACTCCCTTACCTAAAAGATAAGGATCTACTTCATTCCAGTCAAAGGAGGTCAGAGGAGCACAGAAATCTGAGTTTTTGTTATTATTTAGCAAACATTCCAGTCTGGTCTCCGTCTCACCAACCTAAAAGAACAATAAAAAAAAAAAATCAGCCAGTCATTTTCCCAAAAAAAACTTTTAATCCCCCTTTAGACAATATCTTAGTAAATATAAGACATGGGGGGGGGGGGGGCATTTTTACCATTAAGAGTAATAAAACCCAGAGGAATTCCCTGAATGCTACTTCTCTACAAGCTTTTCCCCTCGCCTAGGTTTGTTTTCCAAATTTTTTTAGAGGAGAGGTCTTCTCACCTTGCCTGGCTGGGCACTCACTACACCTCCAGGCCAGGAGACGCCAATGCTGATTAGCTCAGTTGAGAGGGGAGATGACACTCATCAACTCCCTAATCCACACGCATACTTGACTAGAATCAGGGGCCCCGGGAGTCTTGTTTTAATTTACTCAAAAGTATCTTGACTGTAAACAGAATAAGAGGCCTCAAGTATCTCCACCCCCTCAGAGGTCCCTTCAGGGTAAGTTAGGCTTGGATTTCCAGGGCTGGCTGTGGCCAGCAGCAGGGACTTTCAGGAATCTTGGCTAGGTCTACTAGGAAATCTGCTGAGTCAAACAAGGTCATTTCAGATCCGCTCGCATTTGTTTCTCCCCCGTGGCAATGACACTCTGCTGCCTCCAACCCC